TACAAAAGATAGAATCACCAAATACTTTCTCGGATCTGAGGCCCATAAGTCTATGTAATTTCTCCTGTAAGATAATTTCCAAAATCCTTTCAACAAGATTGCTGCCCAGATTAATCTCAGAAAACCAAAGTGGTTTCATCACTGGAAGATCTATAATAGAGAATGTATTGTTGGCTCAAGAAATTGTTCACGCAATAACCCAGCACAATAGAGGGGGGCAACATGGTGATCAAAGTGGACATGGAAAAGGCGTGTGATAGGGTGGCTTGGAACTTCATAACTGAGGTTTTAAGGAAGTTTGGCTTTGCAGAGGAATGGATCGACTTAATTTGTAGACTTATTTCTTATGTTTGGTACTCCATCATAATAAATGGAACCAGGAAAGGTTTTTTCTCCTCAAGTCAAGGCCTAAAACAGGGTGATCCACTATCTCCGTCTTTGTTTGTTCTGGGAGCTGAAGTCCTCTCGCGGATGCTGAATAAACTGTTTCACAACACCAATTTCACTCTTTTCTCTATGAATCTTAAGGGACCTGTTCTGAATCATCTTGCCTATGCGGATGATGTAGTCATTTTCATGGATGGCAACAATATTTCCTTAAAATTGGTTATGACAGAGTTGAAAAGATATGAAGAAGTTTCTGGGCAAATGGTTAACCAAGGTAAAAGCTTCTTTTTGAATGATCCAAAGGCTTCTGCCTCAGAGGATTAACCGTATAAGATTTGCAATAGGTTTCAAGAATAGGAACTTCCCTTTCACATATTTTGGGTTGTCCTATTTATATTGGAAGAAAAAAAATTGAATATTTTGATGGGCTGGTCACTAAGGTAGGAAAAAGATTATGTGGATGGCATGGTAAGATGTTGTCACATGGAGGTAGAATGGTCCTGATAAAGCATGTGCTGCAAACTATCCCTATATATACATTGGTTGCATTATCCCCTCCCAAAGGAACTTATAGGATGATAGAGAAGTACTTTCCAAGATTCTTTTGGGGCTCTAGTAGTGAGAAAAGCAGACACCATTAGAGCTCATGGAGTAATCTATGCTACTCTAAGAAAGAAGGTGGTATTGGGATTAGAAGATTAGAAGAAGTTGGCGAAACTTTTGTGTTTAAAAGATGGTGGAACTTCAGGACCAAAAAGTCTCTGTGGGCTGACTTTCTTCTCACAAAGTATTGCTCAAGGAGGCATCCTGTAGCTCTCAAGAAATCATCAAAACAGTCGCATGCATGGAGGAATCTTATGGATGTTAGAGAAAAAGCTGAGAGCAACACTGTATGAAGAATCAATAAAGGGCAATGCTATTTTTGGTGGGACATTTGGACAGGAAATGGAGCCTTAGCTAATTCCTGTACACACCTAACAAGATCAATGAAGCTTAAAGTGGGGTCTTTCATTCAAGATAGATGCTGGAATCTACAGAAGCTTTCCCAGACAATTCCGGACCAACTTATCCAACAGGTGGTACCCATTAATATTGGAGATGCAACAAAGGAAGATTATGCTTACTGGAATATCACAGAGGATGGATGTTTCTCAAATGGTGCAACCTGGAGGTCAATACAACTTAGGAGACCAAGCAACTTCTCTCTTCAAAAGGTATGGAATAAAAACATTCCATTCAAAATGTCATTTTTGGCTTGGAGACTTCTCCAAAGTAAACTACCTTTTAATAAGGTGATCTCTAGATTTGGTAATGAGATTGTCTCTACATGTCATTGTTGTGTGACCCCAAAAAATGAGACAATCCAGCATGTTTTCTGTTGTAGTGATGCTGCTACGCACTTGTGGAATTATTTTGGCAATCCATTGGGAATAGTGGGGCAGGGTAACAATATTAGAATTAGGATGGCACAGTGGTGGGATATTAGATCTAACAACATTGTTCATAAATATATTTTGTAAACTTTACCAATTCTCATTGTTTGGGAGATTTAGAAAAGTTGGTGTGCTTGTAAATATGGCACTCAGAGGAGATTATTGTATAGAAGTATGGAATATCAGATCATGTGGAATATTAAGGCAGTTCTGGGTATGACCTTCCAAATTGTGAAAGGTCACTACTATGGCCTAGTCTCTGTAAATTGATTGAAAAACTGAAGCCAGTCCAGAGAATTCTTCAAGTAGTGTGGAAAATGCCAGATAATGGAAAGTTGAAGGTGAAAACTGATGGAAGCTACATGAAGGCTACAAGAAAAGCAGGGATAAGAGGAATTATTAGAGATGAATCTGGGGACATGATTGAAGCTTTCTCTTTTCCAGTGGATTGATCTAGTAACAATGTAGATGAGGCCTTAGCGGCAAAGTTTGGGGCAAACCTATGCATTCAGAAAGGTTGCACAAACTTTGAACTTCAACTTGACTCATCATTGGTGGCTGATATGCTGAAGAAACAGGACACAAGGAATCTAAAATTGAGGATGATTATTGAAGAAACAATGCAGAGTTTAGGGGGCCCTTAGCAAATTGAGGTCAAAATTTCTCATTGCTACAGGGAAGCTAATCAAGTTGCAGATGGCTTGGCTAAGTATGCTACTACGCTTGAAGAAGGGAGATATTTCCACAACTTTCAGCAGCTGCCAGGAAAAGCTAAGGGGCCCTTTCAGCTGGTTAAGTGGTAGTTACCAAGTTTTAGAAGTAAATATGAGAAGGGTAATTTTTTTGTGAGCTAAATGCATTCTCGGGCCAGATGTTTTCTTTTGTCAACATTCTGGCCTTTAGGGGATTGACCATACCCCTCTTTTGTAACCTAACTCTTTGTTTCAATATACACCCTTTAAGGGTGATGGTTAATTAAAAAAAAAAATTGTTACCACCAGTGTGTTCTAAATTACAAGACTTTATTGGACTGTTTATCTATCTTACTCTCGTGACTAGCTTCTACTCTCTCCGTTTCAATTTAGATGGAGTGGTTTGACTCGACACGGAGTTTAAGAAAAAAAAAAGACTTTTGAAACTTGTGGTCTTAAAAGCTTAAGGGATAAAAGTTTTGTGGAGCCATGATATTTGTGTGATTATAAAAGTTTCTCATTAAGGATAAAATAGGTAAAATGGAGAGTTTAAAGTTAAATTATTTGCAAATTTAGAAGTGTGTAATTTATTTTGGAACAGACTAAAAAAGAAAGTACCTCATCTAATTTGAAACGGGGGAGTAATCTAAAAGGACAACCAGGTTCTTTGCACTAACAAATAACCCTCTCCGTGTCATTTGTAGGAAAATGAAGTTGACGCCTATTCTTGATTCCCCAATTCCTACATGCATCTTTAAACTGTTCTAGACTTCTAAACTTCGTACCAAGTTCCAAACTTGGATTTTCCTTGCGTTTTGCTTCATCGTACTCTCCAAAAGTAACTTTATCTTCCTCGTCCTCTATATCAGAATTTCTTTCATGCAGTTCCTCTTCCTCATCAACATCAGAGTTACTATTTTCATTTATTTCTTGTACTACAATGCCAGAAGTTGTAGGTACATTATGTTTTGATTTTTTTGGCCTTCCCCTTTCATTCTTACTTGGATGGTCAGATATAACTCCCTCAAAATCTTCATCAGATTCAGACAAATTATAATCTGGGTCATCAAACTCATCATCACCCTCTCCATCAGATTCCTCATCATCCTGGAATTCTTCAGGCTGAATTCCACTCAATAACTGCTCAAATTTCAAGAGCGCATCTTGTGAATTTTGCGGATTAAGCTTATTAGATTTTTCTTCAAAAGTTTTCATATACTCCTACAACAAAAGATAAAAGTTTTCAATTAAGAGCACTTACGACATATTTTGACATGCACAAATCTATTGAATTTCTTTAAGGGAAAATGGCAAATAATAAGGAAATATTTTTTTCCAAATATATACATTCACAAACTACTAAATCCACTGATATGTTTTGAGCAACATTTGACATTCAAAAATCCACAAACCACTTAACTTTTTTTTTTTTTTGATAATCCAAATGCAACACAGTTAGGGGTAAAGAAAATCATGAAAAAACTGTCGCTATTTGGGGAAACAAAAACCTAGAACAATACAAACCCAATATACTACGACATGGGTTGTCACGACCCAAAATTTCACACGTCGTGATGGCGCCTATCTCAATACTAGGCAAGCCGAAAATCTCAATAAACCACAATTTCTCTCAAGATTGAAGGAATAATACAAACACTCCCCAAAACCTGGTGTCACTAAGTACATGAGCATCTAATAGGAATACAAGTCTGGAAAATATAGTCTATAATAGTTTGAGACCAAATACAGTGAACAAAGATATAGAGAAGGAGAGACAAGGTCTGCGAAACACGACAGCTACCTCTAAATCTCCGGAAAATCAACTGTACGGAAGAATCAACACCCGCTATGTCCGGGAACACCTGGATCTGCACACGAAGTGCATGGTGTAGTATGAGTACAACCAACTCAGCAAGTAACAATAATAAATAAGGAACTGAAGATAGCAACGAGCTACACAGTTATGGTTCATTTCCAGTAATCGCAGCAAAGAATAGACATGCTATCAAATCTGCCACTTTAATGTCAAATCAATTTTTTTTTTTGACAATTCCTGTTCATGTAATCCGCATATCAACAATCTTTCAGAGATTTCACAACAATGATAGATAGCAACTAAATGCAACAACAAATGGAATTTAAGTACAACCTCTCAGAACAACAATCACTCACTGGACTCCCAGCCCTCATCACTCCCTGGGCTCCCAACTCTCACTCAATGGGTACCCGCAATCACTAGGGGTGTACAGACTCATGAGGGGCTCCTACAGCCCAAGCGCTATAAGCACGGACAACTCACGTACTGCACGGACAACTCACGTGCCATAATATAAATATATAGATCCGCATGGCCAACTCACGTGCTGCACGGCCAACTCACGTGCAATAATAATATAAGGATCCGCACGGCCAACTCTCGTGCAATAATAATATAAGGATCCGCACGGCCAACTCACGTGCTGCACGGCCAACTCACGTGCTGCACGGCCAACTCACGTGCTATAATAATATCTGGATCCGCACGGCTAACTCACGTGCAATAATATAATATATAGATCTGCACGGCCAACTCACGTGCAATAATATAATATATATAAAGCCAACATGGCCTGCTGCGGCATGCAGCCCGATCCCAAAAATATCCTCACAATCAGGCCCTCGGCCTCACTCAGCCATAAACCTCTAAAGCCATTTGGGCATTTTAGTAAAACAGGGCATTCAGCCCAAAACATTTATATGCATCAAAATTAGAGTCACAAAAACTGAGTTATGCGGTAAACAAGTATAAACATGACTGAATATAGATTTTCAATCGAAAACAATGAGAGGATAGTAAGAAAAAAGCCCCTAAGGGTCCAAACAACACTGGCGCAAGGCCCAAACATGGCATTCAGCCCAATTTACAGAAATTCATTCTAAAATATGTAAGTATCATATAATTTCCATAAAATACTCAACTTTATAGTTGCTACGGGACGGACCAAGTCACAATCCCCTCGGTGCACGCCCACATACCCGTCACCTAGCATGTGCGTCACCTCCAAAAATAATCACATGATACCAAAATCCGGGGTTTCATACCCTGAGGACCATATTTAAAACTGTTACTTACCTCAACCCGTAAAATTCTTATTCCGAAATTTCCTTTCCCCGTGAATTGGTCTCCAACGCCTCGAATCTGGTGATAAATAATTCGATTCAATCAATACCAATTATTGTAAATAATTCCATAAGGAAATACTAATTTTTCCAATAAAATCTGAAATTAACTCAAAAATCGCTCGTGGGTCCCATATCTCGGAACCCGACAAAAGTTACAAAATATGAATACCCATCCAACCACGAGTCCAACCATATAAATTTTACCAAATTCCGACATCAACTCGACCATCAAACCTCCAATTAAAGTCTTTGAAGATTTCTATCATTTTCAACCCAATCTATACCCATTTGAACTAAACAATCTTTCCATAATCCTTATTGATATGTATAAATGATACTATTACACCCAAGAATCATACTCTTAATCACCCATCTTTACCCAAACTCGAAATTGAAGACTAGGGGTTAGAACCTTACCTCTTGGGTGAATATCTTGTGATATTTCCTTATTGGATTACAAAGCTTGAACAAGATTTTGATGAACAAAGTTCTTGAGCTTCTTCCTCTCTCTAGAACACTCTCCCTTCTCTCTAAAAATATCAGATTTTTGCTCCAAAATGAGCTTCAAGGCTTATTTATCGAAGTTGGGTCGGGTTATAACAATAGAAGAATGGATACTCCAAACATTCTGGACCAGGCTACAGACCTGGCCTCGCCAGGCTAAAGCCTGGTCTTAGCACGCTATAGGCCTGGCCTCGCCAGGCTAAAGCCTGGTTAAGCCTGGCTTTTGGCTGGCCTCACCAGGCTAAAGCCTAGTATTACACCTGGCCTCGCCAGGCTAAAGCCTGGTCTTACACCTGGCCTTGCGAGCTCTGTAGCGAGCTACAGGACATCCTTTGGGTATTTGATCATAACTTCTTGTAGAAATGTCCGAATGATGAACGGTTTGAAGCGTTAGAAGCTAGACTCGAAGATCTTTCATTTGATAGGTAGATCATCACATAACTCCATATATATATATATATNTTCCAACTTCTACATTTGATGCCGAAACCTAACGAATCAAGTCCGATTGACCTCAAATTTTGTACACAAGTCATAAATGACATAACAGACCTTTTCCATTTTACAGAATTGAATTCCGACCCTGATATCAAAAAGTCAACCCTCGGGTCAAACTTTCCAAAATTTTAACTTTCGGCATTTCAAGCCAAATTCCACTAAGTACCTCCAAAAACCTTTCCGGACACGCTCCTAAGTCCAAAGTCACCATACGTAGCTATTGAAATTATCAAAACTCCATTCCAATGTTGTTTTCACATAACTCGACATCCGATCAACTATTTCAACTTAAGCTTCCAACATGAAATTTATTCTTCCAAGCTAATTCCGAAGTACCTTAAAACCAAACCGATAATTTACACAAGTCATAATACCTCGTAGGAAGCTATTCAATACTTCAAATAGTTGAAAGGAGCGTAAATGCTTAAAATGACCGGTCGGGTCGTTACAATCTCCCCCACTTAAACATACGTTCGTCCTCGAACATGCCAAGAGTTGTTTCCAAGCCACCACATCAGTATTCCATCTTACCACGCACGTACTCGGGGGTGATCTCACGTCACCCTATTCTATATAGGCCTGACCACACAACATAACTGAAAATCATTAATTTAACCTTAGCCCAAAAACCATGGAGCCAAATTTCTAACATCCAGAATTCTTTTCAATACCCGAATCTCACATCTACACACTATATAAATATAAACAAGTTGTATCCAGCCATAACCATAGTCCCGGATAAAATCACTTTCTATGCCGACCTTCAATATTTTCCTCCCAATATACCGGAATCCAACCTGATAGTATCCATTCTTGGTCCAATGACCTTATATTATTAAACACGACTATCCTATTGACATGTCACACCAATACAACTCAATCCACAACTGCGCAACTTTGTACCCAAAAAATGGAAAATGTCTCAAAGTAGAGAATCGTATTGTAAGTTCAACATGAACCACCACCACTATAATGCTATAATCTCATTATATATTGTACAACTGATACACACAAGTTTAATAACAGTAACCAGCTCTTTTAGAGCTCACATTAATATCACTCGCACGGACAACTTACGTGCTATCGTATCAATAACGTAATCCGCCAGGCATGTTCACAGGCCTCCAGTCCAAGCATATCATAGAGGAGCAATCAAATAAGGACACACGTATGTGATACATGAAATAAGATTCACATGATCTTGGACTGGTATAAATAATGCGCCATAGCGTAAGCATGTGTAAAGTCTGGTGTTACACTTCAAATTGGCAAGTTAACGCAAAAATAGTAACTACCCATTTATTCAGTGGAATTAACCTCTTTTAAACCTCAAATGTAACCTATATAGTTCTCAACAAAGGTACGAACACGAGAAATGTTATAACTTTACGCTCAACAGTCAACTCTGGGCATATCATAGCCTAAGCATTCCTTCGAGTATGAGTACTTGCCCTGATGCTCGCACATTGGCTCAAATCCCGCATATATGCACACTTATAGCGTGTAGCTATCACAATTAATTAACGCAATTAGTGCCTCCATTGAGTAAAAATTAAAATACTCACCTCAAACAGGCCGCAACCTGAAATAATATACTTCTGAGAACTCCCAGTCCCCAAATTCATCAAACACATGAATCACCGTAACTGATCCCAACTCCAACACTAGAATGACTAACACGTCTTCTTTTCACGGTCTTCCCATGACGAATACTTTCATAATTCTTTTGTTCCATATAGAAATAATTTGAATATTAGCAGTCTATAACCCAGATGGGTACTGCAATATCGATGAACATCCGTAAGTCAAAACATAACGCGCCTTCTGAAATACACACCCTTCTCGGGGATCCTCAGGCAATTATAACATACCTCTAAATATCTGAAACTGACCATTCTGTCCAAAATTCGTGATCTTTCTTTCAAGAATGAACTGCCACCTTATGCGTATGAATCTAAATCCCGCACAACACACCACATCTACCATGTGAAAGGCACAAGAATCTCATTATCAACTCTGAGTCATCGACAAATTACATACCCGGTTAGTTAGAAACCTTTCTCTCGCTTCCTTCCAGGAGGAAATCACAATATACAACATGTTTTCCACACCAGTAGAAAATATCTGGTTCAAACCGTCAAGAACACTTTGAAATCCATCTGCACATAAGTAAGCTATTAGAACTAAATTCCTCTAACTCGACCAAACCACATAGGTCACCAAAACCCAAGAATATTGCCACCAAAACATCTGTAGAGTCTCTTCACATCATAATTACCCTTATAAATACCACAACCGAAACACCCACTCTGAAAATACCTTATTTGAGTCTAAGGCCATTTCGTTCACCTTCCTAATACTGAAATATAAAATCCCTAATGATATACAAAAATGGCACAAGTTTCGACATCATCCAACTTAAAACTCATATTTTAGCCATAAACAAATCCGCCAAAAATTCTCAATTGTTATATATTAATCTTGAATCCATTGGAACTTTCTCGAGAGTCACCCCCTTTGTTCAAATCCACATTACACCGCCCAAATGGGCCAAAAGACACATTCCTCATTAGCACAACAACACTCATCCCATGATTTTTATATACTTATAAAGCGCAATATAATCCGTATCTAGAAATTTCCTTACCCGACTCATTTTCGAACTCCACCTCTGCAAGTCATCACCGATTCCCAATTATACTTCAGACCAAAACAAAAATATTTAACACATAACCATGAATTGAATTGTCAATATAAGGCTCCCCCACTTGGCTCAAAACCATAGATTAAAACACTTCATAACTCACAATACCCATACTTTATTACTGCCATAATACTACAGTCAGTTCAACGAAAATTCTTCTCAAGATCAAGACACACCAACCATAATTACCTCAAGTATCCGCTAAGTTCGCATTTATTCTCGTGATAGTCAAGTCAACTTTCTCAACCAGATTCAAATTCAAATTCAAATCCCAATACATCTGCCCTACTGGTAGAAAAGAAGATTCTCCACACAACATTATAAAGATCACACCTCTGTAGTTTATTCCACAGGTGATACCCCGCATGTTTAGCCTTAAACTGGCATCTTTCTATACCCTTTTTACTCCCACAACTCCTACGTAATCACTTAACCTTCATGAGTTTGAACTCATCAATAGGACACGAAAATTCAATTTGTTCCACAATTACACCACATAAAAGATTCTTCAACAGATTTATAACTCGAGACTCTATGTCAAATCGAGACAGAAATCAAATACCCAATAGTCCATTTTTTTTACATCCCTTAACCATCTGAATACATCCCGCGGTCATAATAAAAATCATCATATGGTCATCCAGCCATTCATCAAACTACAAATTCCACTCATAGGGATACTACCACCGGACATATGAGTCAAATTGTACAGGTTCATACAACTGAAACTACCGAGCCTAAGCTGAGGACTAATCCTGGCCTCAAGTCCCCCAGACTGGCCCATCACCAAAACACAGAATACACATTTCGAACCTCGTTCATGAAATAACAAGCTGTGATGCACAGCTGATACCGAGCGCTCATGTGCGCATACAAATGCGTGGAAGGAATTCAAAGAGTTATGTTTCAAGATAAATCAATTCCGCACGATAGAATACAAGAAAGTGAAATTTTCCTAAGGGTTCGGCAGCCTCTCGAAGATAAGTACAGACGTCTCCGTACCGATCCGCAAGACTCTACTAAACCTGCTCATGACTCGTGAGACCTATGTTACCTAGAGCTCTGATACCAACTTGTCACGACCCAAAATTTTACCCGTCGTGATGCGCCTATCTCAATACTAGGCAAGCCGAAAATCTCAATAAACCACAATTTCTCTCAAGATTGAAGGAATAATACAAACACTCCCCAAAACCTGGTGTCACTAAGTACATGAGCATCGAATAGGAATACAAGTTTGGAAAATATAGTCTATAATAGTTTGAGACCAAATACATTGAACAAAGATATAGAGAAGGAGAGACAAGGTCTGCGTAACACGACAGCTACCTCTAAATCTCCGAAAAATCAACTGTACGGAAGAATCAACACTCGCTATGTCTGAGAACACCTGGATATGCACATGAAGTGCAGGGTGTAGTATGAGTACAACCAACTCAGCAAGTAACAATAATAAATAAGGAACTGAAGATAGCAACGAGCTACACAGTTATGGTTCATTTTCAGTAATCCCAGCAAAGAATAGACATGCTATCAAATCTGCCATTTTAACGTCAAATCAATTTTTTTTTACAATTCCTGTTCATGTAATCCGTATATCAACAATCTTTCAGAGATTTCACAACAATGACAGATAGCAACTAAATACAACAACAAATGAAATTTAAGTACAACCTCTCAAAACAACAATCACTCACTGGGCTCCCAGCCCTCATCAATCCCTGGGCTCCCAACCCTCACTCAATGGGTACCCGCGGTCACTGGGGGTGTACAGGCTCATGAGGGGCTCCTACATCCCAAGCGCTATAAGCACGGACAACTCACGTGCTGCACGGACAACTCACGTGCCATAATATAAATATATGGATCCGCACGGCCAACTCACATACTGCACGGCCAACTCACATGCAATAATAATATAAGGATCCGCACGGCCAACTCACGTGCAATAATAATATCTGGATCTGCACGGCCAACTCAAGTGCTGCACGGCCAACTCACGTGCAATGATAATATTAGGATCCGCACGGCCAACTCATGTGCTGCACGACCAACTCACGTGCAATAATAATATCTGGATCCGCACGGCCAACTCACGTGCTATAATAATATCTGGATCTGTATGGCCAACTCACGTGCAATAATATAATATATAGATCTGCACTGCCAACTCACGTGCAATAATATAATATATATAAAGCCAATATGGCCTGCTGCGACGTACAACCCGATCCCAAAATATCCTCACAATCAGGCCCTCGGCCTCACTCAGTCATAAACCTCTCAAGCCACTCGGACATTTCAGTAAAATAGGGCATTCGGCCTAAAACATTTATATGCATCGAAATTAGAGTCACAA